CGGGAGTATTATGGTATGGCATCTTCTGTCTGGCGTAAACTTTTATTTATCCGGCAATCTCCTCCTACATTTTTCGACCGATCTCTTTGAAACTTGGTTTATATTATAATCATGATATGGAGTTGTGTCTCCCTTAAAAGAACTTTGATTCAATAACTTTCCAAAAGTTATTGCCCTTTGTTCATTTCAGTATTTTATTTTTTATCCGGAGATCTCCTCTTACATTTTTTGACGGATTTCTTTGAAACTTAATATACATTATGATCATGAAAAGAACTTTGATTCGACAATTTTTGCAAAAGTTATTGCCCTTTGTTCATTTCAGTTTTTGATTTTCACCTACATTTTTAGCTCACCTGCCCAAAGGGCAAGTGAGCTTAATTATGCCGTGGTGCAGAGTGCGTCTGACGTCAATATTTTCCTTTAAACAACGACTTCTCAATTATCAAAAGGCCCAGGGTACTGATATTGGGCCTGTAGCATGCTGGGATGAAGTGCTACGAAGTTTGTTCAAATGAATGACCTTGACACACTTTCACCGGGGTCAAATGTGTTAACATCTTCAAACCACTTCTTCTCAGTAACCAAAAGACCCAGGGTACTGATATTGGGCCTGTAGCATGCATGGATGAAGGGCTACCAAGTTTGTTCAAATGAATGACCTTGACCCACTTTCAAGGTCACAGGTGTCAAATATCTTAAATCTTCAAACGACTTCTTCTCAATAACCAAAAATTCCCCAGGTACGTACTTAAATTGGGCCTTTTGCATACTGGGATGACGGGCCAACAAGTTTGTTCAAATGAATGACATTGATCCACTCACAGGGGTCAAATGTGTTAAAATCTTCAAACAATTTCTTCTCAATAACCAAGAGGCCTAGGATCATGATATTTGGCCAGTTACATGCTGGGATGAAGGACTACAATGTTTGTTCAAATGAATGACTTTGACATATATATCCAAGGTCATAGGGGTCAAATTTGTTTCAAACCTTTAAACGATTTCTTCTCAATAAGCAAAAGGCCAAGGATGATGATATTTTGCCATTAACATGTTGGGATGAGGGACTACCAAGTTTGTTGAAATGAATGACCTTCGCCCATACTCAAGGTCACAGTTGTTAATATATGTTTAAATCTTTTAATGACTTGTTCTGACTCTAACCAAAAGGTCAGGGTAATGATATTTTCCCAGAAGCATGCTGGGTTGGAAGACAATAAACTCTGTTCAACCTAATGTCCTTGTTGAACATTCAAAGTCATATGTTTAAATCTTTTAATAGGTTCTTATGAATCAAACACTGATATTCTGCCTGTAGCTGTATTTTAGTCCACTTTTAAGATAACAAGTGTGAGATTAATACCAGATGAGCGATTCAGGCCCATTGGGCCTCTTGTAATACATTAAGAATATGATTATGCTACTTGTTATAAATTTCTAAGTACAAAATACAAAATACAAGTCCATGTTCATTTATGTCCCATCATCTAAGATGAAACAGAATATAGAAAACACCAATACTGTGCATGTCTCCAATCAAACTTTCCTGATAATCCAAGCATATATCAATTTCTACAGATTGTCATATTTCAAAATAGTGTACAACACACAAGTAAATAAAATGCTTATGTACAAAATAAACAACTCCATTTTTTTGAAGAGTAACATCACCCCAACACATGTCCTTATGTTTTGCCGAGCCCCGGAGACCAAGTATAAAACCACAGTGTTTGTAGTAAGCTGTCAGGTGTGTTTGAACCTAGTTGACAAGAATTCTACAGCATGTCTATTTCAGTGTCATTTATTGGATCACTTCTGTGTGCTAATTTGCCTTTTCCGTCTCATTCCAACTGATGCTGTGTACTTTTCATAACCTCAGTGCGACATTGGGCAAACGTAGGGCTGCTAACAATTGTGTGACTGTAGTTGTTTCGATGTAATTCAGCCGATCCAAACTTGACATCATCCCTCGTAAACTGGTTGGTTCTTATTCAGAACCGTCAGTATTCCTGATAACAATCCAGAATTAACACAATAACGGACACAGATCAATTACTGGGATATCATGATTTATATTAGCTGACCATCATCATCTTGGGGTCATCTTGGATTTTGACATTTCAAGAATATTATCACTATTTCCCAGGAAGTACTTTACAGTTCTTTCTCCTATTGCAATGATCGGTTCTATTTCTTTTACATTAAGTAATGTAAATCTTCTTCTTTAGTAACATATAGGGCTAGGGTCCTGATATTTTCCTATTAGGTTCCTGTGATGGAGTTCTAATACATGTTATGTTAAAAAGACCAGCAATGTACAATCTTTTTCTTCTAACTTTTGTGTTACGGTGAATTTATGGTTAACTTTGGGAGTGTAAAAGGTCAACATGGACTTTAATAAGTAAATAACTACAAGAAGCCTCTTTTTCAGTTCCATTATATAAAGACCCCGGGTCCTGATAATCGGCCAGTAGTACTACTGTGCTATAAAGTTCTCTCATATATATGACCTTAGCCTACTTTCAAGGTCATAAGGGACATATATGTCAATAATCAATTAGCCCAGGGTCAGTATATAAGGCTGGCAGAATGCATAATTTACCAGTAAGTGAGATCAAGTCTGTTCAAATGAATAACCTTGACCTACTTCTCAGTCAGTTTTCCCAATTATCATATATATTGTGCAGAAAGATTGTAAAGTGTTTTTCTGCGGATTTTATGGACTCTAAAATAATATTTAACCTGTATCTATCAGGTGTGTTTAAGCAAATGGAAACTTTGATTATCTATATCCAGGTATAGAGTGATTTTATATACAATCCACTTTAAAGGTCACACTTTGTTTGCAAACAGTTGATTGGTAGTTTAGTTGTATAGGCCCATTTGGTCTAAAAAAATACAATCCTGTGAATGTCACACAATCTGTAGTCTAGACATTTTACATACAATCCTGTGAATGTCACAATCTGTAGTCTAGACATTTTACATACAATCCTGTGAATGTCACAATCTGTAGTCTAGACATTTTACATACAATCCTGTGAATGTCACACAATCTGTAGTCTAGACATTTTACATACAATCCTGTGAATGTCNTTATAATCCTGTGATTGTCTCACAATCTGTAGTCTAGACATTTTACTTATAATCCTGTGAATGTCACACAATCTGTAGTCTAGACATTTTACTTATAATCCTGTGGATGTCACGCAGTCTGTAGTCTAGACATTTTACAAACAATCCTGTGAATGTCACACAATCTGTAGTCTAGGCATTTTACATACAATACTCTGAATGTCACAAAATATGTAGTCTAGACATTGTACATACAATCCTGTGAATGTCACACAATCTGTAGTCTAGGCATTTTACATACAATCCTGTGAATGTCACAAAATATGTAGTCTAGACATTGTACATACAATCCTGTGAATGTCACACAATATGTAGTCTAGACATTGTACATACAATCATGTGAATGTCACACAATCTGTAGTCTAGACATTGTACATACAATCCTGTGAATGTCACACAATCTGTAGTCTAGACATTGTACATACAATCCTGTGAATGTCACACAGTCTGTAGTCTAGATGTTTTACTTATAATCCTGTGAATGTCACACAATCTGTAGTCTAGACATTGTACATACAATCCTGTGAATGTCACACAGTCTGTAGTCTAGATGTTTTACTTATAATCCTGTGAATGTCACACAATCTGTAGTCTAGAGGTTTTACTTATAATCCTGTGAATGTCACACAATCTATAGTCTAGAGGTTTTACTTATAATCCTGTGAATGTCACACAATCTGTAGTCTAGATGTGTTACTTATAATCCTGTGAATGTCACACAATCTGTAGTCTAGACATTGTACATACAATCCTGTGAATGTCACACAGTCTGTAGTCTAGATGTTTTACTTATAATCCTGTGCATGTCATACAATCTGTATTCTAGACATTTTACATCCAATCCTGTGAATGTCACACAATCTGTATTCTAGACATTTTACATCCAATCCTGTGAATGTCACACAATCTGTAGTCTAGTCATTTTACATACAATCCTGTGAATGTCAAACAATCTGTAGTCTAGATGTTTTACTTATAATCCTGTGAATGTCACACAATCTGTATTCTAGACATTTTACATCCAATCCTGTGAATGTCACACAATCTGTAGTCTAGTCATTTTACATACAATCCTGTGAATGTCACACAATCTGTAGTCTAGATGTTTTACTTATAATCCTGTGAATGTCATACAATCTGTATTCTAGACATTTTACATACAATCCTGTGAATGTCACACAATCTGTAGTCTAGATGTTTTTCTTATAATCCTGTGAATGTCATACACTCTGTATTCTAGACATTTTACATACAATCCTGTGAATATCACACAATCTGTAGTCTAGACATTTTACATACCATCCTGTGAATGTCACACAATCTATAGTAGACATTTTACTTATAATCCTGTGAATGCCACACAATCTATAGTCTAGACATTTTACATACAATCCTCTGAATGTCACACAATCTATAGTCTAGGCATTTTACTTATAATCCTGTGAATGCCACACAATCTATAGTCTAGACATTTTACTTATAATCCTGTGAATGTCACACAATCTGTAGTATAAACCTGTTCCTTATAATCCTGTGAATGTCACACAATATGTAGTCTAGACATTTCAAAAACAATCCTGTGAATGTCACACAGTCTGTAGTCTAGACATTTTACTTATAATCCTGGGAATGGCACACAATCTGTATTATAGACATTTTACTTATAATCCTGTGAATGTCACACAATCTGTAGTCGAGACATTTTACTTATAATCCTTTGAATGTCACCCAATCTGTTGTCTAGACATTTTACTTATACTCCTGTGAATGTCACACAGTATGTAGTCAAGACATTTTACTTATAATCCTGTGAATGTCACCCAATCTGTAGTCTAGATATACTAGTTGTTTGGCTACAGGTGTCACACACTGCTGTACTGTAGTAGTTTGACTTTGTTATACCCAAACACTGCACACAGGACATCCTCCCTGTCTATACCTACAGCGTCTGTACGGCCTGTGTTAGTGTGTATGACCCTGAGGAACTCACCACCTCCACTGATGAGAAGGACCCTGAAGTTGTCACCGTCCCCTATGATCAGGTTCCCCACACTGTCATACACCACACCATGGGGGTTAAATGGTTTACCTACTGTTGATGGTGTTGGTTTATATGTACTGGGGATGTCACCTCTATATACAAACAGCTCCTTGAAATCAGTGTCCATTACAACAACATGTCGTTTTCCATCACCACCATCACTTTCACGACTGAAATCAGCGACTGCCACATTGTGAGTGACAGGACACTCCGAGATCCTGTGTGGTGAACACACTAATGGTTTCTCGGTCCCTTTAACCATAGTAGTAAACCACACTAATAGATTCACAGTCCCTTTAGCCATAGAAGTACACACCATTTTACCATCTGAGGTAAATTTGGAGATGTGTTTGATCATCCCTACAATGACATGGTTACTGGCTGTAACACATATACACATGGGATACTCCTTGGTACTGAATCTGTGTGTCAGTCGTCCTGATACCAGCTCCATGATGTTGTTGTTATCATCACAGACCCACAGTGTGTGTGTGGTGGGTGACAGACTGATGTCATTGATGTAGACATTGTGATTGACCTTCTGTTTTACTTCACCCTTCCTGTCCAGGAGAGTTAATGTGTCACTGTACTTGGTCCACATCTGACCATCAGTGGTGGGACATATAGAACTAATGTAACATGAAGACTCCCACTCCTCCACTACTTTGGTCTGTGGCAGTAGTTTGTATGTTGTCACTGCTTTCTTCACTTTTGCTCCTGACTGTTGTTGTTGTGTAGAGGGTTGTCCCAGATCATCAGATGTTGAGACTGACCGATCCTGGTCAGTTAAAGTTTGACCTTGACCTGAGGTGATAACTTTTCCCCAGGCTTCTTTCAAGTGATCTTGAGGATTTTCATTTGGAGTGAAGTTGGCAGTACCCAGGACAGGTTTTACAGGGAGACTGGGTGTAGGAGAATGGATCTCACAAAATGTATCATAAATCTGTATGTGTGAACCACGCTGGAGAGCTGCTTTACATTCATGAATTTGTTTTTTGAGTTGTTTCTCGTACACCTCCAGGTCCTGTTTGTATTTCTTTATCAGCTTGGTATTATCCTCTTCCATTTTGTGGTAAAGAGAGAGTGTCTGTGTTGTAAGCATGTCCAGCTCTTGTTTTAATTTTTCTGTTTGCATTTTTAACTTTTGTGACAGCTTCTCAAAACTACTGGTGTTGTCTTTAAGGAGCGTATCAGTAGAGTTGATGTATTTCCCAATTTGTACGAGGTCATGTTTTTCTGTTCTGTCTATAAAGTTTTTAATGTCGGGTTCCTCCTGATGGGTGATTTCACTTAGCTCACAAACTGCATGGTTTTTGTGATTAGAAGAAAGGCATTTTTGACAAACCAGTTCCTGACATGTTTCACAATACAAGTCTAGCTGTCTTCCCCTGTGGTAAATACATGTCGTTTGACCTTTGATACGGAGATGCATTTGGCTTATAGGGGTTGCCATTTTGATAAAAAGCTTAGTTATTTGTTGAAATCCTAAAGATGTTTGTTGTTCTTGTATAGATATATTGTTATCAGTAAATACTCACAAATAAGAAATGAAAACTTGACTTGACTGTCCCACCCAGTAGTATATGTTTGCTAAACTTAAAGTAATGTAAAACACTATAGAATAACCACCTCACGATCACTGATGTCACAGGGTTACTGTGATGATGTCTCCAGGTTTACCGTTCCACACTTCAGAAGGTTCACTTACATTGTCTATATAGTTATCCTGCCCTGGGATTCACAATCACATGATGAGCTTCCCTCTATCTTTGCTGATAAATCTGTAACTTTCCTGCGGACATTGTAAAAGTTTGATCAAAACTAAAAGTCAAATGTTCGGATAAATTTGACAATGCTGCTGACTAGTTAGTAATATCAACAAATATCTGCTCTGGATACGCCCATTACTGCGGCAATACGTAGATCTACCTGTTTAGACCTGCAGTTGTAAATAACTTCCCTGTGGAGCGAAAGGTACTCGACAGACTAACACTGATAATAACTTGCATAGTTAGTGAAGTAGGTCAGTGTAGATTGTGTTTAACCCTATGCCACATACAAGCCTATACAAAACAGAACTGTACATCAAGGAAGGAAATGTACAATGCTTGTTGTGAACATTATTACAGCCTATTATAAACTTTATTGATTGAGGATAAAATACATGTTTAGCCAAAGGCTAATCTTCCACATGGTCCTCTTGTTAGTAAAATACATGTGTTAGATAAAATAACATATTTACGCAATCAATATATAAATAAACATGGTAATCTTGCTAGTAAAATACATGTGCTAGTTAAAAGTTACATATATATTGATGCAATCGACATATATAAGGTTATATCACAGTTATCTTAGTTAAGAGTATCACAGAATGCATAAAGTTTCATGCAAAGGTATTTCATCAATTAAATGGCATATGCCTAATATACATACATGCTAATATAGCAAACAATAAAAATTGACATAGTTATACGCTAATATAGCATAATCTAAAATATTAATATAATTTAGATAAGAAGTCTATTTAGAAAGTTACAAGTTTTGGTTACATGGAGAAACAAGTTAAAATCTAAGACATTGCTATACAGTATTTAGTAAGTTTTCGTTTGAAAGTGGTAAAATTGTCTGTTTTCTTTAAGTCACTGGGTAAAACATTCCAGTCATTACCATTAATGACCTCTACCATTTGAGTGCAGCATCTCAATGACACTTATTGTAAAAGTTTAGTGATGGAGAATTCTGTTTGAAATTTATTTTTTAATGCTGATCTGTTTACACTTTTGATAGATTTCATTTTTTTTTTATAGAATTAATCAAAGTTTACTTTGATGCATTTTTCACGAAAAATTTGACCAAAATTGAAACTTTGAACATCAAATTTAAAACTTGCATGCTTAAAATTTGTTAATAAAATAAATTCATATTTCTGTTGTTATACCCCCGCTTCGATGACGTCGGGGGTATCTAGTGTTTGTTTCGTCCGTCTGTCCAGGTGTTCGCGTACCATATGTAGGTCACTGTGACCTCTGACCTACGTAACGTGAGACTTAACGTCTGAAAGGTTTGCAAGGTTTGCGGTGCATATCTCCTGCTTTGTGGTTACTGCGTCCTTCAACCTATCTACTTTGACTCCCAGAATCACCCTCATCTTAAACCTATTCATGTGCTAAATACATGTACATGTATATACGTAACGTTGTCTAGTACCAAACTACCTTCGGTGAAAATACTTGCAGCATATAAACTCTTCACTTGATTCTTCCAATCCACATGCCCATCACTCCCACCAATTCCTGATCAATCAAAGCGGGGGTATTCACGAAGACCTCCCTTCGAGTGACATCTAGTTTTCATTATTTGTTTCTGACCAGTCAATTCCACATGAAAAAGACCATGGCAGTCAATTGTTCACAAATTAAATACACAGCGGTTCTTATTGATTTAAAATCCTGTTTTATATACCCTCCTACACTGTTGGAATTACCTCCTTGCCCCATATGTAATGCATAGCTATTTATGTTGTAATTACATATTACTGTATTCTATTCTGAAGATTCTTCTACAGGTCTGTAAGTATTATGCTTGCTGCACCCTAGGTGGGTGGAGATCCCTTTTTTCTTGCTGTATCTTTGGTGGGTGGTATACTTTATCTTGTTATACCTGAAGTGCTGACCTTAGGTCAGGTTATTACACCCTGGAGGAGTGGATTCATCCTTGAAGTTGTAGGGGTTATACTTATACTTTCTAAAGTTCTCTGCACCCCTGGAATATGTCTTGACAAAACGGAAGACATATACAGTTAGCAATTTTATTGAACTTAGGTTAAAGAAAACCTGACCAATAGCTAGGCTTGTTCCTATCCATAAGGATTACAGAGGAACATCACCCAACTTCAAAATTAGTCAAGTTTACCGTTACGCTGAAATGCATTTCTTTTTATGTACATCAAAGGACAACACTGTTATACTTGTATCATATACAAGTTGGTATGTACAGATCTTTCCATTTTGTCATGACATGATATGCCAGGGATGAAGTGAGCGTTACCCCTGGGATGTTGAAGATGGGTCGGATTGCTGCCTTGGTGGATTGGTCTGTCGTTTCCCTTTCCTTTGTCTTATGCTTAAGTAGGTATAGCTGGATCTGTCACCGTCATCTTGTACAACCCTATGTAGGCTGAACTGTCATCATACACTAAATGGGTGGATCTGTCACCGTCATCTTATACAAACCTATGTAGGCTGAACTGTCATCATACACTAAATGGGTGGATCTGTCACAGTCATCTTGTACAACCCTATGTAGGCTGAACTGCCATCATACACTAAATGGGTGGATCTGTCACCGTCATCTTGTACAACCCTATGTAGGCTGAACTGTCATCATACACTAAATGGGTGGATCTGTCACAGTCATCTTGTACAACCCTATGTAGGCTGAACTGCCATCATACACTAAATGGGTGGATCTGTCACCGTCATCTTGTACAACCCTATGTAGGCTGAACTGTCATCATACACTAAATGGGTGGATCTGTCACAGTCATCTTGTACAACCCTATGTAGGCTGAACTGCCATCATACACTAAATGGGTGGATCTGTCACCGTCATCTTGTACAACCCTATGTAGGCTGAACTGTCATCATACACTAAATGGGTGGATCTGTCACAGTCATCTTGTACAACCCTATGTAGGCTGAACTGCCATCATACACTAAATGGGTGGATCTGTCACCGTCATCTTGTACAACCCTATGTAGGCTGAACTGTCATCATACACTAAATGGGTGGATCTGTCACAGTCATCTTGTACAACCCTATGTAGGCCGAACTGTCATCATACACTAAATGGGTGGATCTGTCACCGTCATCTTGTACAACCCTATGTAGGCTGAACTGTCATCATATACTAAATGGGTGGATCTATCACTGTCATCTTGTACAACCCTATGTAGGCTGAACTGCCATCATATACTAAATGGGTGGATCTGTCACCGTCATCTTGTACAAGCCTATGTACGCTGAACTGTCATCATACACTAAATGGGTGGATCCGCACAGTCATCTTGTACAACCCTATGTAGGCCGAACTGCCATCATACACTAAATGGGTGGATCTGTCACAGTCATCTTGTACAACCCTATGTAATGCTGAACTGCCATCATACACTAAATGGATGGATCTGTCACCGTCATCTTGTACAACCCTATGTAGGCTGAACTGTCATTATACCCTAAATGGGTGGATCTGTCACCGTCATCTTGTACAACCCTAGGTAGGCTAAACTGCCATCATACACTAAATGGGTGGATCTGTCACAGTCATCTTATACAACCCTATGTAGGCTGAACTGCCATCATAAACTAAATGGGTGGATCTGTCACCGTCATCTTGTACATCCCTATGTAGGCTGAACTGTCATCATACACTAAATGGGTGGATCTGTCACAGTCATCTTGTACAACCCTATATGTAGTCCGAACTGTCATTATACACTAAATGGGTGGATCTGTCACCGTCATCTTGTACAACCCTATGTAGGCTGAACTGCCATCATACACTAAATGGGTGGATCTGTCACCGTCATCTTGTACAACCCTATGTAGGCTGAACTGTCATCATAAACTAAATGGGTGGATCTGTCACAGTCATTTTGTACAACCCTATGCAATGCTGAACTGCCATCATACACTAAATGGGTGGATCTGTCACCGTCATCTTGTACATCCCTATGTAGGCTGAACTGTCATCATATACTAAATGTGTGGATCTGTCACAGTCATCTTGTACAACCCTATGTAGTGTCATCATACACTAAATGGGTGGATCTGTCACAGTCATCTTGTACAACCTTATGTAGGCTGAACTGCCATCATACACTAAATGGGTGGATCTTATGTAGGCTGAACTGTCATTATACACTAAATGGGTGGATCTGTCACCTTCATCTTGTACAACCCTATGTAGGCTGAACTGCCATCATATACTAAATGGGTGGATCTGTCACCGTCATCTTGTACAACCCTATGTAGGCCGAGCTGTCATTATGCACTAAATGGGTGGATCTGTCACAGTCATTTTGTACACCCCTATGCAATGCTGAACTGCCATCATACACTAAATGGGTGGATCTGTCCCCGTCATCTTGTACAACCCTATGTAGGCTGAACTGTCATTATACACTAAATGGGTGGATCTGTCACCTTCATCTTGTACAACCCTATGTAGGCTGAACTGCCATCATACACTTAATGGGTGGATCTGTCACCGTCATCTTGTACAACCCTATGTCGGCTGAACTGTCATTATACACTAAATGGGGGGATCTGTCACAGTCATTTTGTACAACCCTATGCAATGCTGAACTGCCATCATACACTAAATGGGTGGATCTGTCTCCGTCATCTTGTACAACCCTATGTAGGCTGAACTGCCATCATACACTAAAT